TGCCGTCTGAGGCAGCGTTTCCCAGTCACAGCTCCTAGCTACACCTCTTGCTCTACAAGCTAGTTCTGCAATCAGGGAGCAGAAATAATATCGGGGACAGAGTAGTTTGCCAACTCTAAGTGCAACAGCAACGGAATGAGTAGTGGTGAAGTGCTTTGAGATCCTCTGTTGAAACGTGCTGAAGAAGGGCAAAGGGCTGTACCTATTCAGCCATGACCGCTTCTTATTCTTTCTTTCACTTAAACTCGTCGCCACTGCAGCAGTATTTAACCATGCAAGCGTTCCTGAGGTATGTTCCCTGCTACCCCACGTTGTGTGTGAGCTACAGTATTCATGAGGAAGGTGAATTTATGAGATTTTTTGAGCGTGCCTCCTGAAAGATGCAAAGGTGCTACTGAGAGCAAAGGGAAATGAAAGGTGCCCAGCGTAGCACTGCTTCCTTTTCTACCAGCAGAGTCTCAGCCTCAGCCAGTATAGAGAGCAGGGGTTGATATTGTATTGTCTCCCACCTAACCCGGGCTTAATGAACAGCATGATGTCTAGATGGGTAGGTAGGAGAAAAGCACACGAAATAGCTTGTGAAAGCATAAGATAAAACCTTAGCAGGCTGAGGATGGAATAAACATCTTGTAAGGGAAGGTTTCGTGGTTCTATATTGGCAAATATAAGTGTGTTCTGTGTATGTTTTGTATTAACTCTGGCACAGCGCAGTGTTAACGTAGCTGTCCTAGATTATAACTGGGTCTGTCGGCACACGTCCATGTGGGATGCCTGGGAGTTAGTAGCTCGCTCCTAAATCTTCCAGCGCTAGCTCCTATTGGGAATATTGTTTGGGGTTCCTACGGTAACTCCAAGGACGAGAGGCGCTTTGTAAAAAAGGAACTAGAAGGGAAAAAAGAGACAGCTTGAAATCCTTGCAGTTGTTTTCCTGATCTGAGAAATCCGGATGATTCAAAGTGACGTTGGCTGGCGCTAAAAAAAGCCATGATTTCAACTGACAGTGCATCATCTCTCTCTGCCAGTTTTGTCTAGCCAGATTATAAACCCCGGAGTTTTCTTTTTGCTCATTCTGAACAAAAAAAATGCTGAACAATCTCGCTGTGCAGCTGCAAGCTTCGGGGTCTGCTACAGTGCAGAATTATGCATGAACCAGCAGAAGGAGCTCCAAGTCTGGACGTTGGTATATAGCTGCTTTCTTATGCCTAGGAGAGGCAGCACAGCAGCTGTGGTCTAGAAATCATTACTTATCTATCGATTCTTCTCCTTTGAGTTTTGAATTCTGTTCACCAAGCAGCCCAAAATTGCACTGGAAAAGAGCTTGGCTCATTTTTTCGGTTGAATCACGGTGGAGTTATGGCTTTGCATATTAAAAAAAAAAAAAATCCCTCAAGAGACAATTTTGCACAATAGCCCCGAGTTCTGATGAGGGAACAAACCACTTCAGTGCAGAATACAAAAATACCAACCTGTCATGCTTTTCCCCAGAATTGCTCTTTCTCAGGCTTTGAAGGTGTTCTGATTGGGTGAATTTCCCTGCTCCCCCGCCAACATAATTCCTGTGTTCCACCCTGTCAAGAAAGCGGATATCTCTAAAAGCCCTTCTGGCGGCAGCTCTAGCTATTGCGAAGTGCTGTGTGACAATTTCACAAGAAAATGTATTATTGCGGAATTATCAGCCTAGTTTTCCAGAGCACAAATGTTTTTATTTGCATGCCCACGAACACACAGCAATTATGCATGCGATTGAAATACACTCTTTGGGTAATTTGGGCCATGGGGGCCAGCTGATAAATATGCAAACCTTTGGCTGCTTATTCAAGTAGAACCAGCTAGGAGCTTGTGAGGTTCATCCAACAGAGATGTTAATACCAAAGGCCCGGATCCTCGAGCAGAGCCACATAAACAATCTATCTGGAGGGTGTGGGTCTAAGGTGCTTTGCTGAGGGAGGTGGCAGAGTATATGCAGATATGTTTCAAGGGGACATATATGTTCCCATGAGGGGTTGCTAGTGATCTGGCCAGGGGAGTCTGCCTTATTCTCTTTGGAGAAGACGGACTAGGGAGTATGTGCTTTGCACTGTAACTCCACTGATTTCAGTGGACTTCAGCCAGACTCTTCTTTCTGTGCTTCCCCATCCCTCCAAGCGCATACAAGTTTGCTGATTCAGGAGGTTTCTCAGCACTTCTGTGTCGTGATTAAAATACATTAGTTCACCCTCCACAAATTGGTGTAGTGACAATAAAGAGCTCAGACCTGCTCAGCGTGGCAGACTGGATACATCACAAGACTGGCTGCTCTTCTGCAGCCGCGGGATGCAAAAGACACTGGGCCATGTCATTAAAGGAGTGTGATGTTAAGGTCTTCCAAAGCTAGAAACGATTTTTGTATGTCCCTTAGTAGCAGCTTTAGAGTCACAGCTGTTTTGTGCTGTGGAACATTAGTTAATAAACCCTGGTTGCACAGAGACTATTTCCCATTAACGTAATTCACGGTCCTTTGGGTCAGCCAAAGATCCAAGCCACTCACCAGAGAGAAGAAGATACATTTCCCAACTTCAGGCACATAAGGGACCTATTCCAGATCCTAACCTCCCCAAAGACCCTGAAAGTCCCCTGCAGCCTCTCCTCCTCTAGGAGAAATAGTAATCCTGGGGCACTAATGGCTGGTGGTCTCCAGGAGCATGTCTACACTGTGGTAAGGGTGCAGGGATAGAGTGTGCTCTCCAGAGCAGACTCTGCGATTGGTTACGCTGGCCACACATTGAATTGCCCTCTGGCAAGGAAACTCAGAGCAGGACAGCGGTAGAAAGAGAAGGGATGGAAGAGGTAGGGCAGAGATGAGCTCATACCCTGCCCTTATGGGACGTCATTGGCTTGAATCACACAGGGTGGCCAATTCAAATTTACAGTTGGGCCCAGCCAGCAAAGATGGTACAGAAGCTGTCCAAGGCATCCTGGAAGCAATCCCATTCGGATTTGTCCTCAGAAGAGCAAGGGCTCTGTGGGGTTTGCGTTCTGCTCGGCAGGCTTTTTGTGGGTGAGAGGAGGTTGGGAAAGATAAAGTGGAGAACTAGATAAAGTACAAAAGCAGAAAACTAGTTGATGATAACTCTCTTCCAGAATCCAGATACAAATGCATCTCCAGATGGTTCCTTTCAACTAACTTTGAAACATTAACTGTGGTGAATTTTTTAAAGGTTAATAAGTAATGAATCATGGAGCAGGTTTTGTCCACTGTAAGGAAAGGTCTTGGTTACTCCCTACAGTGGACGGAGAGCTGCATGGTTTGATGGTATTTGCTGTAAAGAAGACGACGCCAATTAGGCATAGTCAGGATGATGTTTCTGTTCAGTTTGGACCTTCTGGGGTTTTGGACAACTCGTGACTGGTAAATTCTGTAGCAAGGGGAAGCGAATTAATTCTCTCTCCTGCCATACTAAAGCCTTAGCTTCATATCAAAAAGAGGTCCTGGATTACAATGCGGCAAGGTATAAAAGTTGTCAGCTGAACTCGGTGAGTGCACTTGGTGAGGCTTGTTCCTTTGTCTGTAAGTACCTGCCTGTGTGCAGCCCTTCCCGTCCCAGGGCCACCGAGCACTGGTCCCGCAAAGCATGCGTCTGTGTGTGTGGGTAGGAACCGCTAACTGAATGCAAAGCGTCGCATTTCTTTTGCACACGTTGCTGTGGTACCTGGGTGCTAATCACCGTATTTTGCCTTCTCTAGCACCTTCCCAGCCGAGGATCTCAAAGTGTTTTGCAAACTTTAATTAATTTAGCTTCACAACCCTCTTGTGAGGTAGGTGGGCCATACTATCCCGCTTTCCAGACGAGGACACTGATCTACTCGGGCAGAGTCGCCTCGCGCCTGCAGTTAAAACCAGGGGGAGGCAGTCGCCTCGAGGTCCCCCCCCCGTGCGAAGCTGGCCAGCCGCCGCGTGGCCGGGGGGCTGCCCTCCCGGTTCTGCGTGCCGCAGAGGGAATCCAGAGATGGCCAGAGCTTACGGCAACCTGCTTCCGAGCCCTGCTCTTCCTCCCTTCCCACCCTTTGCTGGAGCTGTCGTTTCCACCTGCTCGCGGTGCCCTGAGGCGGAAGCAGGGATTATCCCTGGTCAGCGGTGTTGCGGGGAAGGAAATACGGAAGTAGCTCTATTCCCTTTCTCCCGTAGGCTGCACGCGGGTGGTGACTTGCCCGCCGAAGCTGCCTCTTCTCGTGGGCAAGTCGGAAGGGCCGTGGCCCCTCGTCCCCTTCTCATCCCCGCGGGGAGAGGATGCTCTAGCTGTGGCTCGCGTACGCAGGGCTTAGGCGCCAAGGGTTCGCCTTGCTACCCGTTCGGACTGAGCAGCGGCAACCTTTCCCCAGGTGCCGCACGGACCCGGTTGG